GTACAACAGCACTAAATACTGCCTGGTCCTGCGCCATCCTCATAATCATTGCTGTGCTTAAGCCCATAAATCCATCATATTGAAGGTCTTCCTCTTTTTTGTTGACTCTGCTTTACCAAGCATGATGTCCTTCTCCAGGGACTGGTCCCTCCTGATAACATGTCCAAAGTACATGAGACAATGTCTCACCATCTTCGCTTCCAAGGAGCACTCTGGCTGTACTTCTTCCAGACACACTTGTTCATTCTTCTGGCAGTCCATGGTATATTCGGTGATTCTTTGCCAACACCATAATTCAAAGGCATCAATTCTTCTTTGGTCTTCCGTATTCATTGTCCAGCTTTCACATGCATATGAGGCAATTGAAAATGCCATGGCTTGGGTCAGGTGCACCTTAGTTCTCAAGGTGACATCTTTGCTTTTCAACACTTTAAAGAGATCGTTTGCAGCAGAGTTGTCCAATGCAATACATCATTTGATTTCTTGACTGCTGCTTCCATGAGTGTTGATTATAGATCCAAGTAAAATGAAATCTTTGACCACTTCAATCTTTTCTCCGTTTATCATGATGTTGCTTACTGGTCCAGTTGTGAGGATTTTTGTTTACTCCCTGTCGAGGCATAATCCATACTGAAGGTTGTAGCCTTTGATCTTCATCAGTAAGTGGTTCAAGTCCTCTTCGCTTTCAGCACTCAAGGTTGTGTCATCTGCATTTTGCAGGTTGTTAATGAGTCTTCCTCCTATCTTGATGCTGTGTTCTTTTTCGTATAGTCCAGCTTCTTGGATTATTTGCTCAGCATACAGATTGAGTAAAAGATGAAATGATACAACCCTGATACACGCCTTTCCTGCCTTTAAACCACACAGTATCCCCTTGTTTTGTTCGAATGACTGCCTCTTGGTCTGTGTACAGGTTCCTCATAAGCACTATTAAGTGTTCTAGAATTCCCATTCTTTGCAATGTTATCCATAATTTATTATGATCTGTGCAGTCAAATGCCTTTGCATTGTCAGTAAAAGACTGGTAAACATATTTCTGGTATTCTCTGCTTTTGGCAAAGATCCCTCTGCCATCAGCAATGATATCCCTCATTCCACATCCTCTTCTGAATCCGACTTGACTTTTGGCAGTTCCCTCTCGATATACTGCTGCAACTGTTCTTGAATTATCTTCAGCAGAATTTTACTTGCGTGCAATATTAATGATATTGTTCAATAATTTCTGCATTCTATTGGATCACCTTTCTTTGGAATGGTCACAAATACATATCTCTTCCAGTCAATTGGCCAGGTAGCTGTCTTCCAAATTTCTTGGCATAGACCAGTGAACACCTCCAGCATTCTGTTATTAAGTGTCTAAATGAATCCTTATCAGGATTTTTATGTCCTCATGATGAATTGACCTCCTTATCTCTGATTAATAGTCTTTGCTCAGAAATCTACTTTGTCTAGTATTAACATTGCCATTCCAGCTTTCTTTTGATTAGTGTTAGCATGGTATATTTTTTTCCATCCTCTTACTTTGACCTATTTGTGTTTTTATATTTAAAGTGGATTTCTCTTCCACTTAGCAAATACGGAAGGAATTGTAGAAAAATAAAATTACCATTAAGCAAACATTACAGTAAAAATTATTGTAAAGTTTTACCAATGGATGCTAAAGTCAGTGGGTAAAAGTTTGAGGACAAACAGGGTGTTTACATAGTCTCACAGTAGCTCCCCGTAATATTTATTAATCACAAAGGGGAAAATAATTTTATGTGGAGAATCCTGGCAGACACCACCTTAACCAAGTCATAAAGGCAAGAGCAGGCATCTTTAGTCTAAGGCAGTTTTTCTCAACCTTTTTTTAATTATCCACCACTACCTCCCCTCTCAGGAGCCTTTTGAGACATCTTTTTTCTCTAGTCACCTCCCCGTTAAGAAATTTTAATACCACAGATACACTGTATATCTCTTTATGTGTTATGTGTATATCTATGCTTTATATATAAAAAGAGTAAGATCCTCTCCCCACCCCCTTGAACCAGTTCCTCACTCCTTTAGGGTAATATTGCCCCTGTTGAGAATGCATAGTCTAGGGTTAATTTTTTTCCCCCACTACTGACATAGTACCCTTCTGAGTACTGTACCCAATACCATGTATACTATGAGGCTTTCCACTCTGCCTGCTGTGAATTCTAACTAGTCTGGGCCTTTTTGAGCTTCAGAAATTCTTCTGTCTGCTCTTTTTGGGTGGCTCTTTCCCTGGCCTTGTGTAGTTTTCCCACATACATGCACTGATAGGTACTCTGCTGAAGAGTCGGTGGACCCTCTTCACCGCTAGCTTTCTGCAGTGCTGTCCTCTTTCGTGCTCTTCCCTGTGAACTCCAGTTGCCTTGGCCTCCCCTTACTCTGCTGGGCCCCAGCTGGGTGTCTCTTCCTGCCATACAGCCTAGAAATGCTTCTGGCAGTAAGTTGAGGCAAACACAGTGCTCATCTCATTGCCCGCCCCACCCCCTACCCCCAGATCATCGTCCTGTTCTGCCTGTTATCCAGTGTTTGTAAACTGTGTTTCATACATTTTTTTCTAGTTTTTAAAAATTTTTTAAGGTGGGATGATAAATCTAGTCGTGTTATTTCATCTTGGCAGAAAGCAGAAGGCTCCCCTAGTCCTGGTTTCTTAAAAGTTGCCTAATCTATCATACAGCCCAATCATTCCACTCCTAAGTAAGATGCAAGAGAACTGAAAACATATATCCACACAAACACTTGAATAAGAATCTCCATAGAAGCTTTATTTCTAAATGCAAAGAACTCAGAACCACTCAAATGTTTATCAAGAGGTGAGTGGATAAATGATTTTGACACAGCCATACAGTTGAATATTGAAGAATAAAAAGTAATTAACTATTTATACATGCAACAACATAGGCGAATTTCAATACCATTATGCCAGGTGAAAGAAGCCAGACCAAAAAGAAAATGCATGTGTAAAATGGTGGGAGTAGTAGTAGCATTGGTATCAACAATATCTGTCCAACTTCAGGGGGGTTAATGCAAATCAAGATCAGCCCAAGTCTGATCCCTATGAGGTGGATGTCAGACATACTTCTCTTCTCTAACCTTTTACCAATTCTGACACCAGCTGTCCCCGCCACGGCACTTCTGAGTTCCTTAATCCATTGCAATGGCCACACACAAGTCAGAGACCAAGAGACCACTTACAGTTAAGTGGTTTATTAAAGAACAGGGTACAACTCGGTCAACAGGCTGCAACTCAGGATCAGGATCAGGAAGCGTGCACACATAGTCTCCCTTCTTCAGTGCAGGACAGCTTTGCCAGCTCCTCTTGGCCGTGCAGGTCTCTCTCTCAATCAAAACAGGCTTCCTCTCAGCCCCCTCAGGACAGGCTCTTCTTGACCCTGCTGCCTGTCACCACTAACTCTGCCTCAGGGCCCCTTCTGGGCCTATCACTACCAGCTCTACTGCTAGGCCCCTTCTGGACTTCTCGCTGTCTTCAGTGTCACAGCCCTTGATCCGCATTACTGCTTCTTTAGGAGGTTGCTTGCCTTCTCTCTCTCTGCTTCTCTCTTCTTTCTTCCTTCTGCTTCTGTCCTTCTGCTTCCCTTCTTGCTTCTTTCTGTCTCCAAACCTCTGTGGGACTGGCTGCTTAAACATAGAACTCCTTGCCAATTTCAAGGCACGGCCTCTCCCAGCAAGGCCACTAACTGACCACTTCCCTCTCAGTATGCCACAGATACTTCATTTGCATGGTAGGATGGCTGGGCTACAGCTCACCTCATTTGTATAGTCTATTGACCAATCCCTGCAAGGTGCATACCAATCACAGGGCAGGCTGCAGCTCAGGACCAGACAAAATATATCAAACCAAATTATTTACTGCTTACCCAGGAAATGTCAACCAACCTGGCAGAAGTACAGACCCTCTGGTGTAGAAAACTAGGGCAAAGGTAACTCCTCAGGGCTTAGGGGAAAAATCTCTCGAGCTGTTTTCCCAAAGAACCAAGACAAAAGGCAACACGAAGGAACTCATTTCATCAAAATATGTTGTGTGGTTCCCTTTATATAAAATTCTCAAAAAGACTAATGTATACTGACAAGAAGCAGGTTAGTAGTTGCCTGGGGATGGAGGTGGAAGGAAGGATTGATTTACAAAGAGGCATGAGGAAACTTGTGTTTGTAATGGAGATGTTTTTTCTCTTGATTGTGGTAATGACTTCACAGGCGAACACATGTCAGAACTCAGCACGTTATATACTTTAAATATGTACAATTTGTTGTACGTCAGCTATATATGTCAATAAAGTTAGTGAGCCATGTAATAAAAAATTCATACGAGTAGGTTATGGTGATTTTTAAACTTTAGAATAGTAATGAAGTCAAATTTGTTAGCAGTTTGAAAAGCACTTTAATTAACTTGATTCATACAAAAGTGTACAGTTGTAAGCCTGTTGCTAGTGATTGTGAAGTTCTGCTCTAATGAATGTGCATATTGGTGTTAGACTAAATTGTCCCCAGAACCTGTGGACTATAGTGAGAGAAAACATAGCTTCTGAAAGCTAGGCAGATCTTGGCCCAGATATTGCCTAAAGTGTGGCTGTCTAGCCTAGTTTTAGAGCAATGCTGGGAGAACAGTACTTATTCTCCAATATTGTAGAAGGTACTGGTAATTTTTTAAATTTCAAGTTCAGTATGCCTATAGAAACATTTCCATCTCATAAATGTTTGCTGCAGTTTTACAAAATGAATATATTCATGTTACTTGCACCAAGATCAAAAAACAGAGCACTACCTGGCAGTGGTAATTTTTAAAAATACAGTTCTTGCCCAGCTAATTAAGTAAAATTGAACATATGTTGAATGACTATGACTAGACAATTTCTAGTTTTGAAAAGGTTCTGATACTGGGATTGTATACTCTATACTCTGTTCTGTTTACTTGTGTTTGTATAAACATAGTCTATATTTTGCTTAGTTAATGTATTTCCTCTTGGCAGTGGACTCTCGAAAAATTGACCAGGAGGGAGAAATTCCAAAAGAAACTTTAGAGAAATTGAAGAGCTTGGGGCTTTTTGGAATGCAGGTCCCAGAAGAATATGGTAAGTATAGAAAGCAACACCCAACTGATTTGGATCTTAAGAAAGCACTCTTTTTGTCCAAAACAGGGTTATGTGCGGAAAGGTGGCCTTTGAATACAGTATGTGAGGTCTAGCTGTAAATCTCCTGGAATTTAAAAAAAAGTCAGTTGTGGAGAATTAATAAAAAAGTCAGTTGTGGGCTAAATACGGGATTGCTGACTGGTGTCTGTATACTGAGGAAATGACTCACAGGATGGAAGAGCTGTTGAGCTCTGTGCTTGCTTCACCTGTGGTGGAAGAGGACCACCCCCTGCAGGGGGTTAATGCTCTCTGGTTCCTGCGGGTGGTGAAGGGACTGTGACTGACCTCAGAGCTACTGTCACGGATTGAATTGTGTCCCCCAAAAGTATGTGTCAGCTTGGTTAGGCCATGATTCCCAGTATTGTGTGGTTATCCTCCATTTTGTGATTTTCCTGTGTGTTATAAATCATAATCTCTGCCTGTGGTTAAAGAGGATTAGGGTGGGACGCGACACCCTTGCTCAGGTCACATCCCTGATCCCATGTCAAGGGAGTTTCCCTGGGGTGTGGTCTGTACCACCTTTTATCTTACAAGAGGTAAAAGGAAAGAGAAGCAAGCAGAGAGTTGAGGACCTCATACCACCAAGACAGCAGTGCCTGGAGCAGAGTGTGTCCTTTGGACCTGGCGTCCCTGTGCGGAGAAGCTCCTAGTCTGGAGGAAAATTAATGAGATGGCTGACAGAGAGAGAAAGCTTTCCTCTGGAGCTGACACCCCTGAATCTGGACATCTAGCCTATTAGACTGTGAGAGAATAAATTTATCTTTGTTAAAGCCATCCACCTGTGCTATTTCTGTTATAGCAGCACTAGATGACTAAGACACCCGCATTGGCTGATATCAGTGTCTTCTCTGCTGTAAAGCTTTTGGCTCTCTTAGGCAGAGGAATTGCTCCTAGAGCAGCTAGCACAGCACTGTCTGTTGGAGAGAGAACAATATGGTAAGGGCTCACGCAGGCTTCAGGGCCCATCAGGCCTGGCTTCTCACCCCAGTTTCATGAGGAGCTGCTGTGCAGAGGTCAGCTTCAGGGAGCACAGTGTGGGGTGGAGGGAGATGGACAGTGTGAGCCCCTTCACGGAGGGTCCTTTGTCCTTTTGACTATTCTCTCAATTCTTTAAGGCCCCAAGTGAAAGGTCTTACCTTTCTCTCCAAGATCCCAGTTTAATGCTGCCTCATTAGATTTGGCCAGTCACTACAGCTTGTCTCTCTTTTGCTTAATCTAGAGTTGTTCATTGAAGTTCTTTGGGGACTAAGTCATAGGCAAGAAGTTGGGGAGGGGGTAAAAAATGTTTCAAAGGGACAGAATGCAGTCATACACACAAACACACACACGTCCTTTATTTTCGCTCTCAGACCCTTTTGTCATAAAAATGTGGCTCTGGGCTCTGTAGCTTTCACCCTGCACCCACCTCTCTCAGACTCCTTCCAGCCTTCCAAGCCTTTGCTGCAGCTACCTTCAAGTTTTCAGTTAAGGGTCACAGAGTTTAGGGGAGACAGCTGCAGGGGACACCTGCACTCTGTGTTCTGTGTGAATGGCACCCCCTGAAGTTGGGCAGTGCAGCAGCTCTAGGACTAGTACCCAAACCCCTGAGTTCAGGGCCCCGCTCTGCCACTCCTGGCCACATAACCCTAGACCTCAGGTTGTCAGCTGTAAAATGGACATTGAGCCAGCCTGCCACCTCTGGAAGGATTGTGAATATTAAATGCAAAACACTCAAGTACAGTAGAGTTTTTTGTGGGTTTTTTTTCCTTCTAGTCTTTTGTCTTTTTACTTCTAGAACAGTGATTCTCATCTGGGGGTGATTTTGCCCACTGGGAAGGCATTTGGCAGTGTCTGGGGACATTTTTGGTTGTCACAACCAGGGGTAGGGCTGTGTTACTGGCATCTAGTGAGTAGAGGCTAGAAATGCTGCTTAACATCCTGCAATGCACAGGACAGCCCTCACAACAGAGAATTATCTGGTCTAAAATGTCAGTCATGCCAAAGCTGAGAAATCCTGTCCTAGGATACACTAGATACTGGGGAATAGGATACTGTATAATGTAGCTGTTCTGTTTAAAAGAAATACATCTGTGATAGAAGGTATTCATAATGTAATAAGTGGTTTAGTGTGTGTATAAGTATTTTTTATATCGAAATACATATTTCCATATATGCTTATATACCTAAAAAAAAAAGTATGAAAAGATGTACACAAAGTGCTGTTTCTGAGTGATAAGATTATTACGGGTGATTTTTGTTTTCTTTGTAACTTTCTGTGTTGTGTGTGTGTGTGTGTGTGTGTTTTCTTAGCAGTGCACTGACATTATAATCAGAGAGAAATGGTTAAGCTGTTTGCCTTGTGGGAGGGATTTTGGGTTGGACCATAATTAAAACTGATCTGTTTCTTTTTTTAGGTGGCCTGGGCCTCTCCAACACCATGTATGCACGGTTAGGGGAAATCATCGCCCTGGACACATCTATTACCGTGACCCTGGCAGCACACCAGTCTATAGGCCTCAAGGTCAAGTATCTGGGGTTCCTGTTTGATACCTTCTGAAGGTCTTCAGTTGAGCAGGAGTCTTGCTCACTTTTACAAGGAAGTGATTGGGCTTGTTATCATAGTGCCCTGGAGGAGAGGCCAGCCTGCTCGTGCGTTCCCTCTCTGCAGCCCCCTCTCTCCTCACTTGTGCACACGCCTCTCTCCAGCCACCCCAGACAACCTTCAGGCCCTGCTCACATGGCTTCCACATGTAGCCCTTTGATCATACTGTCCATTCTCTGAATCCTCTTCGCCCCATCCCCTTTGACCCATCCATCCTTCAAGGTCCAGGTCAGGTACCGCTGCCTCCACAGAGACTTCCTTCACCTCAGCCTCGAAACAGGGCTTCCCTCTGAGCTCTAGAGTCACTTGGGGCCCTGGGTCTTCTTCATCCCACTGGGCTTGGAGCATTCCAGGGCAGGGAGGGTAAGTGGCTTGTTTGAGATGTCATGGCTGTTTGTAACATACCCATTACTCAGATTATTTCTGCTTAGTGTAGACATTAATGATAACTGAATGAGCAACATGCTCACTTCCTTACCCCAGAGAATGCATGTACTGGATGCGGTCATTTTGTGAAAAGAGTGGACCATCCACTGGGTGCTGACCGGGAAGGGTGGGTGAGAAAATCCTGACCTTGACTGAACACCTTCCTTATGCTAGGTATGGTTCTAGCACTCTCTTGTATTCTCATCTTATCGTACAGACCACCCTTCCATAGGTAGGATTCTCCCTGGTTTGTAGATACTGCGACAGAGGTTCAGAGAAGGACCGTTAAGGCCATGTAGCCAGGAAATGGAGGCGGTATAGTGAAAATCCTGCTCTCTCTGACTCCAGCACTCTGCTGATCCTCCAGGCCCACACTGCCCTGGTGTATGCCCTCTTATGTGGTCTTCTTGGCAGTCTGGTTCTCTGTGCTCCCCACCACCTCGCCTTTCTTACCTGAGGCTGCCAGCTCTGAGCCCATAGGGTTTTCTCTGACTTGAAGTCAATATTTTTTTCAGAAGGGAAAATGTTTTGCAAGCACATTTCACATTTTCTTGTCTCTCCACAGCTGAAATTGGTCTATGTATGTTTTGTTTAGGGGATCATCATAGCAGGCAATGAGGAACAGAAGACCAAATACTTGCCCAGATTGGCATCGGGGGAGCACATTGCAGCCTTCTGTCTTACGGAGCCAGCGAGGTCTGCCCCTTGGCTAGAAATGTCACATAAAAATAGCTTTGTACTTTTTAAGGTTCCCTGGGACAAGGGGCTATTGTTTTGTTAAGTAGGTGACTTCTGTTTTTTCTCTCTGAGACTCAACAGTTTTTTTGACAATTCTCTTCATTTTTGTCTATCTTTACCTTGTTTTTTGGTCCCAGTAAGACTTGAACAAATGAGATTGCATACCTGACAGCACCTATTAAATAACATTTTTTGGGGTTTGCAGCACACCTTGATGTACAATAATACACTCAGCCTTCAAAGCAACTTTCAGAGTATGTAGGGTGAGCAGTATTGCCCCTGTTTTACAGATTAGGAACTGAGGCTCTGCGAGGTTGTGTGAGGAGCCCAAGGTCACAAACCTAGGAAGAAACGGGTGGATAGGACTCTGGACTTCTGATGGCCAGTCCATTACTTGGACTACCCTCCACTCTGATTCCCCTCATGTGGATAACTGGGAACTGTCATCCACAGAGGATTTATTATTGGTAGCTGGTTTAATGTGGGAATTGTGGGGTTTTTTTTGTTTTTTGTTTTTTCTGGAAACTAGGAACATAACTGGTGTCCTGCAGTTTGCTTCTCTTTCTCAACTAGTAAGGGCAGCACATGAGTTGGCTCTAGATACCTCATGTTGCTAATTTAAAAAGTAATTTAAAAAACCCAAGTGTTTGCCTACTTAGACCTTCTCAGGATTGTCTCCTGATCCTGGTAGAATTTTGGTATTGTAGATTTGGAGGGACCTTTCCACTTCTGCTTTCGTCCTCAGCTTCCGCACCACCTGATTGAGCATCTCGCTCCTGAGGTGCCTGAATTCATCATTGTGAGGAGCTCAGATGAGCCCGTTTTGTTTTTGTTTTTATTGTTGTAATTAAATGAAGTTCACATTTCAAATTAGTCTCCCATACAAAATTTTTATACATACATTGTTATGAGACCCTAATTGCTCACCCCATTCTGCGACAACACACTCCTCCTTTCTGTCCCTGATTCCCCATGACCATTCAACCAGCTCCTAACTCTCTCTGCCTTCCCATCTCACCTCTGGACAGAAGCTTCCCCTTGATCTCTTGTATCTACTTGACTAAGAGGCATACTCTTCACGAGTATCACTTTATGTCCCACAGTCCAGTCCAATCCCTGTCTGAAGAGTTGGCCTCGGAAATTTAGTTCTGGGCTGATAGTGAGTCCGAGGGCCATGCTTTCCAGGGAGCCTCCAGTCTCAGTCAGACCATTAAGTCTGGTTTTCTTACTAGAATTTGAGTTCTGCACCGCTTCCTTCTAGTGCTCCATCAGGGACCCTCTGTTGTGTCCTGTCAGGACATTCATTGATGGTAGCCGGGCACCATCTAGTTCTTCTGGTCTCAGGCTGATGAAGTCTCTGGTTTATGTGGCCCATTCTGAGATGAGTCCGTTTTGAGCACACATCTCTGTTTAAGCCTAAGCCAAGGTTATTTTCACTGCCACTTCTTTTACCTGATATCTTAAAGCAGAGGTCAGCCAAATCCAGCCTGCTGCCTGTTTTTGGTAAATAACATTTTATTGGTGTGTATCCATTTGTTTACAAATTGCCTACAGCTGCTTTCGTGCTCCAGTGGCAGCCCTGAGTAGTTGAGACAGACATTCTATATAGCCTGCAAAGCCATGTTTACTATCTGACCTTTTATTTAAAAAGTTTGCTAGCCCTTGTATTAAAGTATTTAAAACCTTCATTTTCAGCCCCTCAAAATCATTCGTATTTATGCCCAGCCTTATTCTCCCTCCCCTACGTGTTTCTGTCCCTGCAGTGGAAGTGATGCTGCATCTATCCGGACCAGAGCCACATTAAGTGAAGATAAGAAGCACTACATCCTCAATGGCTCCAAGGTACACCTCCCTGGCCTGCTCAGGATCTCAGTCATGGTCATAGTTACCAATTATAATGACATCTGCCATGTACCAGGAATGAGTAGATACACACATCACTTCATGACCACCTGTGGGGTGCAGGGCATTACACAGTGCCGTCGTACTGACTCCCTCCCTGAGCTGCTTTATGGTTTTTTTTTTTTTAATACAAAATTTCAAACATGCAAAAGTATAATATAATGACCTTCATGTACCCATCACCACCCAGTTTCAGCCATTACTGGCTCACAGCCAGTTGTGTCTTTTCTGTTACCATCCCCATCTCTGGGTCTCATCTATAGCTTTCACTATGCATCTCTAAAAAATGAAGCCTTTTCTTCACTGGAGAATTCTACAAAATATTTACAGAAGAGCTTGTAGCAGTACTACTCAAGCTATTTCAGAGCATAGAAAAGGAAGCAGCACTTCCAAATTCATTCTATGAAGCCAGCATAACGCTGATACCAAAACCAGGCAAAGACGTCACAAAAAAAGAAAATTACAGACCAATATCGCT